GTGCTTTTGTTAAGAAAAGATATTTTAAAAAAAAGAAACGGAAAAAATAGGAAGACTATGGTTTAAAATATCCAAGTTTTTAAAAAACACAAAACCATCTAAAGAAGCAACCAACAAAATAACTAATGACCTTGATAGTTTCTTTAATATCATATCATGTACTCATACAATCATTATATGCACAGAAGTTTTCGGCATCATTTTGCAATGATCCCGAAAACTGCAAATTAGGTGCACATGTTTATTGTTCATGCCCTCTATTACAAAAAGTTCCTGTACTTGATCTTCTTTGGCTTCGTAATCAGATGCTTAAAATGAAAGAAATTTCTACTATGCAAAATGGTTTATGTAATTATAAAGAATCGGTTTGCCTACAGAGAAGAGAAAAAAGGAAAAACATTCAGAAAGAAGCTGAAAGGAAAAGGGAAAAAAAGAAAATGAAAGAAAATATGAGTTTGATAAATTTCAGGTTAGCTAAATTACCACGAATATAATTCTTTAATCGTTTTAAAATTTAATATATATTAAACTTTTTTAAATTTAAAATTTATATATTCTATTATATATAATATTACTTACCAATATTGGTAAGTAATAACATTATATTATAGAAACTGCATATTTAAACAATTAAGAATCCTGAACTAGTTTTCAATCTACTGGAAGAAAATAACAGCCCGACGGGCATTTGTTTTTAAAAGATACGTTCTAAATGTGTTTTAAACGTCTTTTAAACGTCTTTTAAACATTAATGCTTAAAAGGCGTTTAAAAGATATTTAAAAGACATTTAGATTGTAACTTTTAAAAACAAATGCCCATCGGGAGTGGTATTGATGATACTGATGATACATACAATATAAATACTGCACAACTAAAAAACGAAACAAAAACTTTGGTCGACAACTTGCTTGAAGAAAAACTAGGAAGATTAGCATCACTGGTTACAAGATACTTAAAAAAACGAAGTCTAAAGCAAAACAAAATGACCATAACACATGCGGCATCAGCTGCAATAAGATATAATATTTCTAATGTTGGTGCGGCAGCTATAATCACTGGCATAATGAAAGATTTTATAGCTGCAGGTTATCTTTCTCCTGATATGTCATACCTTTCTGTTGACCCAAATAAAATGCGAAGGGCTAAGAATAATTTAATGAAATAAAATAAAATTATTGAAGCTAATAAATTTAGTAACGAAAATATAATTGGAATTGCTTATGATGGAAGAAAAGACTGGACCAAAACGTTAATTCCAGATAAATACGGAAAACGTTACCCTAGAGTCATAAAAGAGGAGCATATAAGAGTAACTTGGGAGCCAACTGGACGTTATCTTGCTTACATCACGCCAGAACTTGCCCTTCATCCGGAAACACCTGCAAAAAAGATAGCTGAAGCACTATATGAGGTGCTTGAAAAAAACAATGCTACTGAGTCATGCATAGTAATAGGTAGAGATTCAATAATATCAACACAGGATGGTCAGGGAGAATTCATACCCATCTTGAAAAAATGTTAGGACATAAATGCTATTGGGTGATTTGCATGAAACATACAAATGAAGTGAAAAAGTGAGTGTATTCTGGTTTCACTCTTGACTAGGTCTAATAAAAATGAAAGAAAGTTTGGTGTTGATAAGGTTTTACAAATTAGAGGAAATAATGAGCTTGGAGACACTGTTGTTCAAAAAAGAATATCTCCGAAAATTAACCTTGACGCTACTATCCTTCAAGAATTAATTTCTTGGTATGTAAAAGATTGTTATGAACCAATATCTACAAGTAATCTTTCTAAAGTGGAGATCTCCAAATTCATTGAAAATCCATTGAAAATTCCTAAATTCAGCATTCACACTCAAGCAACAGAATGCTGCGTCAAAAGCGTGACAGAAAAAAACTTGAAAACCGCTTTCAAATGAGAAGTATTTCTCATTTGAAAGCGGTTTTAATTTCTTTTTTTAATAAAATATTTAACAAAAATAGTTTTGAAAATAGTTTTAAACCTTTTAGCAAATAAAAAATATGAGGTTGAGTAATTTTTAGATTAAAAATTCCTTCCCCTACATTAAGGACGATGACATAAATTCATTTGTTCAGAGGTAGGCCAGGGGGTTTTGGAGGGGGAGGGTGTTCGTTTGCTTTTATCATTAAGAAAGTTTAATCAGTTTCTGACAAAACAACGCTATTTGACATAAGTATAAAAATAAAATAATTTAGAGTTTACACTTTTCTAAAAAAATTAAAAATGTTATAAATAATGATATATTGCATATCTAAAAGTGTCAATTGTACTACCAAAACGTTTTCAAGTTAAAAAACACTAAAAGAAAACTCAAATTAAAATTTAATTTTACATAAGAGTATCAGTACGCGCTTCGAAAAATAGTGATTTTCATAAATTATGGTACCAAGCGATGCACCCTATTGTATAGTCCATTATACAAAACAGCTTAAGAAAAAAAAAAAAAAAAAAAAAAAACTTCACTAGAATGTTCATTACTATTTTTTACAATGGTTAAGGCTTAAAGAGTTAAACAAAGAACTGAAACAATAATAATAATATAAACAATAATAAATAATATAAACAATAATAAATAATAGCGTTATTTCTATGGAAACAGGAAAAGTACTAGATATTGAACAAATGAACAAGTCAAGTATATACATACAAAAAGAGTCGATACAATAAATCTACAGAAAAAGAGGGAAAAGTTTTTTTAAGTATTTTTTAAGGCTGTTTTTATCAGTTGATGAACTTTAATAACGCTAGCCAACATTATCTAAAAATCTTAAAGTGGAACTATCATGAAATTTTTAGTATAAATAAGTCTTGTTGCACTCTGATTTTAGCGTGACAGGTTTTTTATAAAATTAAATCAAATCTCGAAATATGTCAACAAAGTTGCAAAATTCGGTCACTCTTTCCCCGACTTTAGTCCGATATGTCTATTAAAAATTCATATGAAAAAATTGTTCTGCTTACAAACCAACTCTACAAGAATAAGTATTACCTTACAAAAAAAGTATGGGTACTACTGGTTAATTTTATAAGCCATAGGTTTAAAAGTTGAAGATATTTTTTCTTACAAATCCAAATCAATAACATAATAATTATAAGGAAATTGACTAAAAACTTTTTAGAAATGCTTTTAGATAAAAAAATGTCATGAAAATTCCATACTAAATATATCGAAAGTAAGATCTCAAAAAGTATTACCATGTTATATCGAACAAAACCGTTTCTTAAAAAGCTCTCTTTTATAGAACCTTTAAAAAATATTTTTTTCGTTCCTACACAGCTATCTTTTTTACATTAACGTTGCCTGAGAAAGCACTAATAACACTAAACTCAAAAAAATATAAAGCAAACAAAAATATGCTTGCAGCATACTTGGGGCAAACAGGAATGCATAATGCGAAACTCGCTTACGTCAGCTGGGAGCTTAAAATATTTATAAGGTTAATATCCATCAAGTAATATTATTTATGTTTAAAGCAAAATGTGGATTATCTCCAATAACATTTAAATCTTACTTTATTGAAATCTTTAATAAATATCGTACCAAATTTTTTCAGTGAACAACTTTGTTATTTCCATAGACCATCTTAATTTAACTCGTACCAAATTCAATATCGGGGACCTTTTGTTTGGAAACATTTTCTTCATATTTTTAAAGGAAAATAAGACTTCGTTTTAAACTGCACTTGGAAAGTTTTAAGGCAGGTTCAAAACTGCATTTATTAAACATGCATTTCGATATGTTAGATTTAAAATATCTTTTTTTAAAACAAGATAAAAGGTATTGAATTAAATAAATCATTTAAAATTATTACATTTTCTTCAGCTTATTTTTTTTTGTTAATGTTAATAATTCAACCCTAAATAGTTATTTAAAGTGCATTATTTTTAATAAAACTTATCAAACTTTTCGTGATTATTTCACTTTTGTTTTATTTTTTTCAAATTATTCCGCTGGAAGATAGTTTTAGTACTTGAAAAAAACTTCAGCAACAAAATAAAAATTTTGTTGCTGAAGTTTTTTATTAATATTTTTATGTTTTTATTCTTTTTTATTTTTATTATTCATTATTTTTATGTTTTCGGCTTTCATATATATCTACAAGTATATTTTCCTACTGACTTCTGACGTTGAATTCTGCGCATAACCGTGGTCTAATTTTACAACATGTGGTTTTATTGTCTCAGCACTTACTACCTACAGTTTTGTTAATAACTGGCCTTAGTGTAAAGCAAAAATTCAAGTCTTCGGTCTCGAAAATGTTTGCGTAGGCTTTACCCTTGGAATTCTTATTTTTGGCCTTGTTAATAACTCTGAATTGTGAGAATCTTTGAACGTTCTTCAATAATTTTGTGGTTTTGGCACCGGCTTTATGTGCCATTATAGCCAAAGAAACTAAAAGCTGCTTTTTTTCAGATAATTTTTTTTTTTATGTAAAATATTGATAATTATTCAAAAAAATATTTTTCAAGGGCTTTCCACCGAAACCAAGATAAGTCAAATTATTAATCAAAGCTATTTTAAGTAAGAAAATATTCAAAAAATTATCTCATTTAATATACGAAAAAATATTAAAAAAATATTTAATTAAAAAAAGGCATCTAATAAAATGTTGTGTATTAATCACGTACGAACAAAATTTTAAACTGACGCTCCTTTAAACTTCACAGAGAATACGCCGACAGGCAATGAAAAGATCTCTAACTGACCAGAAAAGTTGACTTAACTGTTTATTAGTCCTGGTCACTACTTAAAAAAACACCTTAATCTCACTCTAAAAACGAAAGACTAATTATTTTATTTGAAAAAATATACAGATTAAGGAACATCTACAAGAAATATTTATTAGAAGTTGAAAAGCGATATTTTAACATAACTATCGAAAAGTAAGTTTTAACCATAGTCGTTTTTCGAAGTTTATCAAGTTGAGAACCGTTAATAAATAAACAAATCTGCAAACAAAAACAAAAGGCAATATTTAAAAATCATATTTGTTAACGCACAAGTGAAGCTGGAAGAAAACCAGGTCTCATTTCCGAAGCCGTTCTCAATTCAGTCCATTTATCTTCTCTTTCTCTAATTGAATCACCCACATGGTCTCCTATAAAAAGAAAAAGTATAAGTTTATTATCATTTAAGGGTGATACATTATTAATGACTTCTATAATAAAAAAAAAGTTGAGAGGTTTTCTAGTTCGATGTTTTCAGATGATAATAGAACTTTTTTTAAAAGCTGCATGGGAGTAGGCGCACTATCCTCCGATGGATTTTGTTAGATCATCTTTATAACCACATTGAAATGGTCGTTTATTAACTTAAATTTTTGCCTCTTTTTCATTTAAAGCTTAAAGGACCCCTTAATACTATTTTATAAATTACATCACGCAATTTTTGACGATTTTTTGATGTTTAATAATTACTTTTTTTTTTCCTCAAGTTTCAAATCTTTTCTATTAATTAAAAGGGTGCCTAGCTAAAAACATCTTATTAAAAAAGTGCCTAGCCTAAAACATTTTATTGTTATTTTATAATTAATTATATTATCATTTTTTCATCGAATTTATGTTAAATTGCAGTCGAGTCAGTCAAGTGTACATCAATTGAGGATGTTTTTAGGCTAGGCACTCTTTTATTTAGTATAAAAGATTTTCTAGATTTGAACTTAAAGAGAGAAAAAAAAACAACTGCCACCTATCGCGTGACGTAATTTGTGGACGACCCCAAACAAGAAACAAATGATTTAGGGGGTTAGAAGAATTTTTATTAACGCAAACTGCATTTGAATCATTTTAAAGATATTTTAAAATATAATACTATAAAAATAAAAATACGGACGAGAAGTTCCAGAAAAACTTCAAATTAAAGTATCCCCAATTTTTATCTAAATCTGTTGTCATGGAGCTCCAAAATCGCGTGGAAAGTTTTTACTCTATCCCAACGTACTTAAAGAACTCTGGAATTATTTTACTTTTTAAACCTTGAGTCCAGAGTCTTTAGTAAAAATAATAAAGATACAAGTGTTTAAAAGTAATTGATTCCAAGACTCCATCTATACTGTATTTCCAATAGAGTTAGAAAGATTTTAAATATTTTTGAACTCCAAGACGCTAATTAGTACAAGTCAAAATAATGAATATTTGACTTTAAGTTCTGCAATCTTCTCTAGTCCCGGTTTAGAACTCCCTACCACTAAACACAAATTAAAAAAAAAAAAAAACAAAAAAAAAGAAGAAAATGTTTATAAAATATTTTATATGATGTACTTAATAAAAAAAACCAACACAAAAGCCTCACCATCTTGATCGGCGGGCGGCAATTCCCATTCAGGAACTTGTATTTCTAAATGGCAGCAACAACAAAAGTAGAATTGGAGCCTTGTGGAGATTAACATTATATATATGTATATATATGTATATATATGTATATATATATATATATATATATATATATATATATATATATATATATATATATATATATATATATATATATATATATAAACAAAAAAATTTTTTCATTTTACACTGTGTTTCATCAACAAAGACTCATCAGAAATGCATTTCTGATGAGTCTTTGTTGTAAAATGAAAAACGGTGTAAAATGAAAAAAATTTTTGTTAAGTGATTTTTTACTAATTTATAATTGCTCTGTTCTTTTAAGAACATTGAGCACTCTATTTTGTAGAATACATTTTTTAAAAAATTGTTTAAATATATATATATATATATATATATATATATATATATATATATATATATATATATATATATATATATATATATAAATATAAATATATATATATATATATATATATATATATATATATATATATATATATATATATATATATATATATATATATATGTATATATATATATATATATATATATATATATATATATATATATATATATATATATATATTTCAAAAGGGACTAAAATGTATCACCTTGGTTCAAATATGTTTAAAAGAAAATAGAGTAGTGGGGATTTTAAGGGTTTTTTTTTAGGTTGTTATAATTTAAAAATTCTTTTTTTAGAGATTTATGACAAATGTATAAATTATTAATCTTGGTATAAACGAAAAGAAAAAACTTGTTGTTTTTCTGTATTAATTTACATTCATATAGCAACCCTCGGAAATAGGAAAAATGAGGTCATCAATAATTTGCCGACATCAATCAGTTAGGTCGACAGTTAGGTCGGCATTGCCTAATGCCGACCCTTATTTTGAGGGTTGATACAGTAATAATTTTTTTTAGTTATTCTTAAATGAAATGAGCAAAAACTTGTTTATTTAATTTTAAAAATTAAATTTTTCATAAAACTTTTTATTAGTTTTTATACATTTCATCTTTTTCCAATTAGAGCTCATAATAAACTCATTTTTTCAATCAGGTTTTACATATAGATTAAATAAAACTAAACTTATTTTTAAGAAAATAAAAAATTTTATTTTATGTTTAAAAAAGCCAGTAAATGTTGGCAGATTTACAAAAAAAAAACAGCATTCAATTATAAAAATAGATAATAAAATAGGTAATAATATAAAATAATATATATTAGCATATTATTTATTATTTATATGTAAATAAATAGATAATTATTAATAAAAGTTTACAATTTTAAAATATAAATATAGAATTGTAAAAATCAAACAACAATTTTGCTCTGTAAAAATCATATTTGTATTATAAAAATAAAATATTTTTTAAAATCACAGTATGTAAGTATATTATCTCAATTTTTTCGCTTCTTAAACAGACATTTTATATTTTAAACCATGTGGAAAAACTATAGAGAAACAAGAGAAAGACAAGATAACAAATGCCATTGTAAAGTGGCTAGCTACAAACTGCAGACCCATCAGTATTGTGGAAGATGCAGGTCTGAATGAAGAACGTTATTAGGATTGTAACGAATGATTGCGCCAAGATGCACCATTGTATTATAAATACATGAATTTTATGAAAAAGAGAGAACTATAAAGGCAACAGTGTTCTAAAATGCACAAATTGTTGCTCTCACCGAAGACTACAGGACATCGCTGAGTAACCATAATTACCTTGGAGTTACTGTGCATTACATTGATGAACAATGGAAACTGTATTTACATGCTTTGACAGTAAGAAAAACACAAGAAAGACTTTTTGGTGAAATGTGCACAGAACATTTTTTTTATGTTGCGCAACAGTGAAACATTTCAAATAAAGTCAGCACACTTATTACAGATAGTGCAAGAAATATTGTCACTGCTTTAAGATAACTGCCTTTTTAACACATCCCCTGCACTACAGTCTCCAGATGGAAGTTGATTCTGAACATGATAAAAAGTGTTCGAAAAAACGAACAGCCACTGAGCGATGTCCTCACCACAAACAACAAAAAAATTGCTATACCAACATCGGCTTAAATGGACAAATTACAAGTGTGAAAAAGCTGTTGGAACCCTACAGGTTTATTTTACATCATATATTTTTCAATGACTGAGTTGATTGCATGTGAGAAAGAATTAATGTGCCTGTATGTGTTTGTAAGCATGATTATGAAAACATTTTATGCGTGTATAAGTGAATTTGATTTGTTGCAAGTATGTGACTAACTTCTTTGTGGAGAAAAATGTTTTATGCTCTGTAATTCTGTCTGCTTTTTGCCATCTCTCGAGTTACGGAGAGCATAGATGATGACCCTGTCTATGTGGTTAAATTCAAGTCTACATTTAGAACAGACCAGGAGACGCAAAAGGAAAATTACAACATTGCATATATAAAGATTGCAACCACATTGAACCCAATATTCAAAGACCTCAATTACCCAGGCCCAGAGTTGAGAGAGATAAGGTGTGGGTCTCAGTCACTAAATTACTCAAGGAACAGAGGGTTATTTCAGATGAACCTGTGGAAATAATGCCATTAAAGAAAAAATTTGCTCTATTGGTTGCTTTTTTAGAGTCTGATTCTGAACACAAGGAAGACTCAATTCAGAACAGTGTGCGTTGATACAGAGCAGAGCCCACCATCGGTACAGAGGCCTGTCCATTACAGTGGCGGTTCAAACATAGATGCTCACACAGCAGGCTGGCCTCAATTGCCCAGAAGTACTTGGCAACACCTCCGACATCCATACCTTGCGAAAGGTTGTTTTCTCTTGCTGTTCATATTGTAAAAATAGAGTTTCTTTATCCTCTGGAAATGTGAATGACCTTGTAGAAGAATAGATAAAATTGTTTAAATTTTGGACTAACCAAATGTTATTGCACTTTTGTTTATACAGCAGAACTATAAAAGAATAAATTTACACAATACAGTACTTGAGATTTCATTATTGAACTTTTCGTTTTTTCTGCAGAAAGTCATGCGATTAACATCACTGCTATTTGACTTAAGATCACTGCTATTTTGTTTCACACTGACAGTTTTAAAAACAATACACAATATTATATTTAGAAAAAAAACCTTCATCAGGAAGAACATTATTCTTTACTTCATTTAGAATCAGATGAACAAGTGTTCCATCAAAGTGAACACACCCTAACTCACTATCCTATTAAAATTAAAAAGAAAAACTAAAACATAAAATACAAAACCTCACAACTTAGTAGAATAACACAGTAAATCAGATCAATTTAAAACTATAACAATATTATGCATAAGAATATCAGTTTCATAAACCCTAGTTTAAATAAATATATATTATACTGATCTTGATCTCTTTATCAAATAGAGATCTAAAATGCAGTTATATCTATATATCAATATATTAAAAAGCTATAAAATATAAATAAAACTATTGTTACATTATATTAACTTAATTATATGTATCAAAATTAATTAAAAAAAGGTTTGAAAATATTTTAAATGTAAATATAACAAATTAAAAACTATATTGTTAACAAATCAAAATAAAAACACCTTTGGTTTGCTTGGCATTTATGTCCTACTCAAAATTGAGTCCAATGCAAACAATTTTTAAACAAATCTTATTGCAACTTTAATTTAGTAATACCTTTTGCTATTATGATATAATCATAGTATTAATATAAATGAAAATCTTTACAAATAAAAAAAAATTTAGAATAAAAACAAAAAAATCTATTTAATAAGCAACAGTTTCTTTCATAAAAGCCAAATCATAAATTAAAACATAAACAAATTTCATTTTTTTAAATCAAAAGAAATATTGTAATCTGTGTCACTTGATTCATCAAGAGATTCGTCAGAATCTTTATGCTTGTCACAGATCATGAGTTTATTTTGTCCTGACATTCTTGCTGACTCAAACTTTTTTATTAAAATAGATTTGACATCTTTCTTAGCGTCAAACTTTACACCATAGCTAGCACAGAGGTCTTGCAACTCCTCTCGCTCCATTTGGTTAATGTTTTTAGGAAGATCGTCTATGTCTACTTTAGCAAGAGATGTGGTGTCAAAATTAGCTTCAATGCTTCTTTTGTTTTTACCATCTGTTAACATTAATCTCTGGTTAGACCTAAGATAATTTGACAATTTTGAAATGATTTCATGTCGAAGACCTGTCACTTCAAGTTTTAAATCTGCGCAAAGTTTTTTAAGCATAGCATCACTTAGCATCCACAATTGTCCCACCTGTCTGCCATTATGCTCCCACTGCTTTATTCCCATAATTTCTGCTTGGCTCATTTCTTTTTGTAGTTTTATTTTACTTTGTGCTTCTTCTTCCTGTAACTTCTTTTTATATGCTTCAATAACACTCTCATTATTACAGTTATCTAAATGAACTTTGGCTTCTTCTAATTCGTCGCTTCTATCTATTTCCCATCCACAGCGGGGACATGTATCCCGCAATCCAATAATAAAAAGTTTTTCTTGTAAATTCTCATCAACAGTGCCATAAATTTTAACAGAACGCTTATCAGATCTTGCAGCACGACGATTTTTTTGAGATATACGTTTTAAATACTGCTCATGCTTTAGCTTAGCTTCAGCTCGTACTTCATTTTCTCGCCTGGCTGAAACTTTAAACATCATAAAACCAAACTTTTTAGAACAATTTCCATTTCCACAAATTATTTGGCGATGATAGTCATCTGGGTCATAATCAAATGTCTTATTGCAATGCGGGCAATAATGAACAGCTGTCATACATCCAAATTCACATGAGCATCTTCCACATATATATTGTTTAATAGCCATCATAAAAAAATTATAAGCACCATCTTCCAAACCCAATTCATTACCACCCCATGTTTGCATACATTGAGGGCACTTAATTTTTGTTTTAAAACATCCATCATTTGATCGCATATACTGTTCAGTTTTTTGCCTTTTTTTAGCAGGCTTTTCTTCATCACTTTCAAGCTCAAATTTGTCAGGATTTGAAAGTCTTTCAAATGCATTTAATAGAATTTGAAATGCTTGTACTGATTCTTTTGCATTACTATTTTTATCTGGATGCACTTTCGAACTTAAAAGAAGATAAGCACGCCTAAGATCAGATTTACTTGAGTTTTTGGTCACAGTTTGCCCACTTAACGATAAAATGAGTTCGTGATTCCCTTCACTTTCAAGAATTATTTCAAACAACTGGTTTTTACTTGCTTGGTGATTACTCGAGGGCTTGGTTTCCGATTTAGAACTTTCAGGATTATTTACATTAACACTTTTCTGGTTTTGAAAAAAAACTGCTAAGCGTTTGAGAAGTTCACTTTTATCGCCAACAGGAGATAATTGGTTAGCACAAAGAGCTAATCTTATGTCTTTGATTGACATACTTTTAACTTTTTTCCCAACCTCTGTATTTAAACAAGGAACATTAGCCCAATCTTTTTTTCCATGACACTCAGATGTACATGCTTCATTAGATTTGGCACATATGCATGTACTGCAAGGATTGGAGTCACAGCGACAAGGCATTATATTTTTAAATTTCTTTTTCAAAATTGAATAAAAAAAAATTCTGATAAAACAACTACTTATAATTAAAAAACGATGAATATTAATTTACATAAATTCAAATCTACTAATATATATATATATATATATATATATATATATATATATATATATATATATATATATATATATATATATATATATATATATATATATATATATGTATATATATATATATATATATATATATATATATATATATATATATATATATATATATATATATATATATATATATATTTAATATATGACCATCAATGAATACGAATTCTCTCAATATTATTTTTTTTATTTAACCCAAGAAATTTTCGCTAGATTATTGATACTAGCTTCTGATCTTCAGCTTTAAGTACAATTTAAAATTAAACCTGAAGTAGCACCAATAATCTAGCAAAAAATTTTTAGATTAAATAAAAATTTAGTATTGAGAGAATTCATATTCATTGATGTTCATATATTAAATTTATTCAACTCTCATTCAAAATGTTATCATTTAAATATATATATATATATATATATATATATATATATATATATATATATATATATATATATATATATATATATATATATATATTTAAAGAATTTGGTAAGTTAGGTATGTGACTTAAAATTTTTTAATTTGATTGATAAACATTATAAGAGAGTGCTTGAATGCAAAATTCCAGAATAAAATTTTTTATTAAAAGAATTGTAAAATAATCTACTGATATGTAGATATCTAATGATAGTTTTCATAAAAATGTTGATTGTCTTTGCTGTTGAAATTTTCAAAAAACACAACTTTTTGCAAAATATTCTCATACATGAGTCACATCTAAACAAAATATAACATACCTAACTTATCAGACTTTTTTCTATTGCTATAGGTTACATCCATATCAATCAATATATTCTGAACTACATGATTTTATAATTTAAGGATGTTTAATTAATGATGTAATAATAAATAATAATGATGTAAGTTGATGCTAGTTGCGTTTTTCCCTTAATTAGTTTACGTACATAAAATACAACTCAACTTAATATATATCTATGTGAGTTAATATATGTATGTTTATAGGTATATTTATAGGTATGTGTGTTTAACTCACTACATACATATATACACTTGCATGCATATACCCACACATGCATAAACATTCAATCATTGTACAATGACGGCAAAAAAGCTGTAGATAAATCGTTTCAGATATGGTGTAACTTTTAGAAAGATATTAATATATAATGAGTGCGTTTAAATATCTTTAACTCTCTTGTTAAACAGTTTTTTCTGGATATATTTCTTTATACATATTGCCCGCCAATTTGGATGTTATAAGTTTGTTATAGAATATCCAGTATTTTGATTGGTTGCAACAATTTGGCTGTTATTTTTTAATTTAATTATGGTATAACAAAATTTAGTATTGCATGATTTTATTAGCGTATTATGTCCAAACAAAATCTTTAGATGATATATTTTTTTTTTGCTTCAGGTTTTTTTAATATTTAAAGAAACTTTTTTTTTTATTATTATTTAATTTTCAAAACTTCTTTTACTACCCGCCAATAGTAAATCTAAAGAACACCATTTTGGTGTTCTTTAGATTCACTGTTGATTAAAAATGCCTTTTTTTGAAAAATGCCTTAACCCACTATAGATCCTAGTTCTAATTGGTTCTGACGTATATTAACTATATATAGTAGTCAAAATACAATATTGCCTTTACTAAACAAAATACAATAATTGCCTTAACTACATTGAGTATGGGAATAACTTATTTTTTTGAAATAAATTGTCGTAAAAATCAATTTATTTTCGCTTTCTATTTTTAACATCTTACCATATAAATGTTAATGAAGCAAAACAATTGCAACAACTGGATACAGGGCCGTCCCGAGGGAAGGGGGAGAAGGAACGTAGGAAAGTGTCTAGCTCCCCTACGAACTTTATTTTAAATGATAACATTTGAAAATCCTATATATATATATATATATATATATATATATATATATATATATATATATATATATATATATATATATATATATATATATATATATATATATATATATATATATATATATATATATATATATATATATATATATATATATATATATATATATATATATATATATATATATATATATATATATATTATAGGTTATAAATATATATTATGTAGCCACTATGCTCAGGTGCAGGCTTTCGCTTTCAATTTTTAAGGTAAAAAATTACATAAGAGGTCGTCCATAAAATATATACGCTTTTGTTTTGACCCTCTTCCCCCTCCCCATGCACTCCTCTTTTCATCGGAAACTACGTGCTTCATGGACGATCTCTATATATAATTCTCGTTAATTTTATTAACAATTCCGCCAAATCCGATTCCGGTAGGAATTCAAAATTTTTAATCCGGTACACCCGTAATATATAGTTGGCAGCGACCTTATTTTTAGATAAGATAGTCGGCAAAAATTTTTTTTTCGTTTTAGTCGGCAAAAAATAAATACGCAACCCCCATTAAAATCTCTTCGGGACAGCCCTGACTGGAAAATTTATTCCCAGATCTCAATAATTTAGGGACTGCACAGTGGTCCAGAAACGTCACTTTTGAGGCAAAAATCATATCTTCGTCGATTTTAAAGCTAAGAAGCTAAATTTTTGGTGAATGTTCATTATACCTTGGCCAACAATAACTATCATTGTAATGTTAGTTGTCATACCTCTAAAGGACACACCAATAACACGAAACCAAGGACAAATGAAATAACGAATGATAAACATGTGATACGTATTTCATATTTAACTTTTAACTTTCTATTAACTAGAAATAGTCACCAGCATGTTTGAAATATTTTTATTGAATGAACAAATATCAAACATGCGCAGAACACCATGAACACATAACGTAATTAGCTTACATTTAATGTACTTATTTTAACATAATCATTTTTGAAATACCTTTTAGCTAAATATTCTCTGGAGGACAAATTACACATTTATTACATCTTGATAGATTGCATAATCATGTAGAGTAGCACCAAGGACAAAAAGTAGACACAACATATGACACAAGGACAACACCAAGGACAAAAAGTAGACACATGAAAATATTTAAATTAATTTAATAATTTCCATGATTTATGGTACACTTACGAATATTAATGTGTAGAATAAACGAACTTTGAAATAACACACCAAGGTCACATCACATAATATGTTTTTTGCATTTACATTTATTTTTAGATCTTATAAATAAATAAATTATAAATAAATATTTTAGATCTTATAAATAGATTAATCTTATTTTCATAACACTGATTTTAATAGTTTGACTTTCTGGTCGATTAATAAACAAAATCATATAAAACAAAAGGACACATATTTTATAATTAGAGATAATATTTTATGCATTTGGGAGCCCAACAAGAACATACGGCTACTTAAAAAGAACGCGTAATTTGGTTTTACACTGAGATTATAAATAAAAATAAGTTGTCTTTAATATTTCTAAATTTTTTTTTCTTACTAAATTGAGCTATTTAAAATAATAACAAAGGGTTTGATTTTTAAAAAACAACAATGAAACTGATGTATAATCCCTACTTAAAAAATAAACGTGCTGTTGTAAACATGCATCTTTTTACATTTCTTTAAATAAAGTAAATCTATTTAGGACCCATATTATCAATACTACAGTTAGGAATACAATAAAGAATATAATTGTATTAAGAAAATTACAAAAGAAGATCTAAACATTCTGCTGGAAGAGCAAGTTCCCTCTTTGATTCAGAATATCGCCTCGTAGAAGTAATAAAAGGGTCTAATGAACTGGCTTGTTTCTTACAACCTGGTGTGAATGGATAATTATCTTGTGCACTCCAATAGGCATAGGATACCAATTTAAAATGTGCTACGTATGTCTTAAATGTATCTTTGCAATATATTTCTAGGTTATCTTGATCGACTGGGTGCTTACGGGATAATACACAAAGAATAATGAAATTTTTTTTAACAAGATCCTTATCAGTTCCAAGTATTTCAGCAAAAGTTTCATGGTTTCTATATACCTTTCTAGCTATGTTTCCATCATTGGATGTACCAGAGACACCACTTTTTGGTACATCAACAATAAGTCCAAGTGTATCTTTAATTTTTTCCTGAATTCCTTTTTTTCAACTTGCAACTATTTTTTTCTTTTCAAGAGTGTTTACAAGAAAAAATCCGCAATCATTGTCCTTGTCTTCTTTTTTTTTCTTTTCAGGAGTCTTCTTTTTTTTTATTTTTATTTTTGTTTACACTAGTTTGTCGTTGTTCAATTATATAATAATAACAATAAAAAAAAATATAAATTGCAAGTACCTTTCACAAATTTACAATGATAAACTATATAAACAAGGTAACTGAAAGAAGATCACGAAGATCTCGTCATCAAAACCTTAAATAAGCCTTGGTGCACACTGCTCCCAGATAAAAGGTTTAGGTTGAAAATGAAGGTACCTGGGATTTGTTTTGGCAGAAATATCAGAAAGAAATACTCAAACAACATTAGCCAAAAATTAAAAATGTACCTGCTCCTAAATTGAAGTTTCATGTTTATTTTTTTTTATTGGTAACTAATTATGTACCAAAACTTGCTTAATCTGTTTTGGTTGTTGCAACAAGAAGAAACAATGTTTGTTCTTGTTGCAACTCCTACAAAATCCAACTCAAATTGCTTTAAAAAATTTAGTAAGGAAGCATATAGATAAAGATTTTGATGTTAAAGTGAACTGCTTTCCTACTGGAATGTGTCCGAAGTGCAAGACTAAAAAATATAAGAAAGATGTATGTATCTTTTTTTATCTTTTTTTGTCATTTTAAATCTGTCACTTTTTGTAAAAATGGTACTAGTTTCTTAAATACAAGATATATAAAATGTTTTTACAGAAAGGATAAAATGTTAAAAGTGCAGAAATCTCCTGGCAAAGAGGAAGAGTTACTATTTCAATGCTTGGCAGAATACAAGTAGTGTCTGAATTATGTCAAACCTGTA